TATCCTTCTTTAGCCTTGATTACTTCAGCACAAATGTTTGACATTTGTTGCAAAAGTTTCTCCAAGTATAATTTTGATAATGGATTCCATTCTCTTTTCAGTGACTCTAAAAGATCTTTTTCATTTTTTTTCCCATGCTAATTCTGGCGATGTCTTCAAACTTTTGAACTGTAGTGGTGTGTGTGCATATATATATATATATATATATATATATATATATATATATATATATATATATATATACACAGTAGTTTTTCAAAAGTCTAAAGACCCCTTTGAAAATTTATATGTTTTGTATAATTTAACAGGGAACGACACATTTTTTTCAATTAAACAATCATTGGAATTGAAAAAAATGTGTTGTTCCCTGTTAAATTATACAAAATATATAAATTTTCAAAGGCGCTGTAGCCTTTTGAAAGCCACTGTATATATATTAATTAAATGTGAAGTCACCCACAGCAGCCTAGCTGAAATCATGTATCAATCATTTATATGTGCCCTTTTTTTTATATACATTTCATTATATGATCCCCTGTGGAGAAAGATACTTTATTTAATGTTGCTTGTTTTTTTTTTTATTCAAATGAATTCTAGAATTTTAAGTTTTTCTTTGCTGTGTGTCCTATATAATATTATGGTGTTATCTATTAAAATTTGTCTTATGTTAATATTCTTGTTGTTTGTAATGTGTTGATCTATATGTGCAAAAATTGTTCTAAAGTTTGACAAATGACAAGTCAAGCTACAAGAGAGTGTGGTGAATGTGTGGCCAATGTAAGTATTAAATATTATTTGTTGATTATTAGTATTTAGATACAGTCTTCCAAATGATGTGATAATTCATAAACAACATTATTTTTATATAGGGCGTATATATTTGATGCTGAACTATTTCTGTCAAAGACACATGGCCCAGTGGATAAACGCATTGGTTGACCCAAAGATTTTTGAGTTCAATACCTGGCAGCCGCAAAAGTGAACAAAAAAATTTGGAGATAACTGATACTGAGACATCTGAAGAAGCATGGCATGTGGAACCAGACTAATATACACTGGTGGATGAAATAAAGAGTTCAGTTTGATATTCCAATCACCTGAAGAAGGCCAGAGTGTAGAACAGCTGAAACATTGTGAATATGACAATGGAGATGAGTACAATAGTCTTAACGATGTAAATAGTGTAAATAACAACTATTTCTATTTTAAAGGTATTAAAAACTTCATCTATTATATACCAGCAAATTATATTTTTAATGGTTGGTTTGAATTTAAGGCTTCAAGAACACCAGAAAGCTGTAACACGAGGGGAAGTGCAAAAATCAGATATAGCTGACCACATATGGAGAGAAAAGGGAGATCACCAACCTCTGTGGGATCAGATTGAGATCATAGACAAATTCGTAACAATGTTACAATGGTGTTCTTTGTCTATGTTACAAATTTTAAAATCTTTGGGTCAACCAATGCGTTTATCCACTGGGCCATGTGTCTTTGACAGAAATAGTTCAGCATCAAATATATACGCCCTTTGTAAAAATAATGTTGTTTATGAATTATCACATCATTTGGAAGACTGTATCTAAATGCTAATAATCAACAAATAATATTTAATACTTACATTGGCCACACATTCACCACACTCTCTTGTAGCTTGACTTGTCATTTGTCAAACTTTAGAAAAATTTTTGCACATATAGATCAACACATTACAAACAACAAGAATATTAACATAAGAATGTAGCATACAACGGCCAAAACATTGTAATAAATATGGTGACAAAGATGAGGGCAATAGTGTACAAAATACCTCATCTCAGAAATATAGGCATATATTAGTTTCACTTGTTTATTGTTTGGATGTATTTGTTTACAATCAAATTTAATTTTTATTTTAATCAAGATGATTGCTTATATTATTTTAAAAAATTTCTTTAAAGTCAATTTTATTCTTCATCAACAACAACATTTAGGAAATTATTGTTGATAAATGTTTGTTTTTATGTTGTTTAATTCTGTCTGAAAAGGAAATCATTTTTGAATGGTTAATCATGTTTTTTATAGCACCTATTTTATATTGGGTAATGAAAAGTTCTAGAAACAACACACTTTCCAAAATCTGAATAAATGGCCATAAATTAGGATTTTGGTGGGGAAAGGCTTCTAGTTAGGCTGTGATTGTTTAAATTTTATATTAATATGTAAAGGGAATTCAACTCAAAAAGGATAAGGGTTTATAGTTATAGGCAGCATAGACAGAGATATCAACATTGAACATTGACTGTCAGTTCCACACCTCAATGTAATCATCAGACAAAGAAAGAAAGAGAAGAATATATGAATGAAAGAAACAAAGAAAGAGAAAGAATGAAAGAAAGTTAGATTAATAAAAAAAAACATGAAAGAGATTAACAAGAAGTAAAAATGAAGGAAAAAACAATGCAAAGAAATGTGAATTAAGAGGAAAATAAAACAATATTTTTAATTTTTTCTCCTTAAGAATTCATTATTCTTACTATCTTATTCATTTGTTTTTTCTCCTTATAAAGTATTCTTTCTTTCTTTCTTTCTTTCTTTCTTTCTTTCTTTATTATTTATTCACTTGTTCTTTTCTTCTTATCCAACAATCATTCTTTCTTTATTTCTTTCTTTCTTTCTTTCTTTCTTTCTTTCTTTCTTTATTATTTATACACATGAACTTTTCTCCTTATCTAACTTTCTTTCTTCCTTCCTTTTTGCCTTCCTTTCTTCACCCATTCTTTTTGTCCATGTCCAACTTTCTTTTGTTCTTTCTTTTGTTTTTCCTTTCTTTTGCATTTATTCACCTGTCTTTTTCACCTTATCCAGTTCTCTTTCTTTCTTTCTTTCTTTCTTTCTTTCTTTCTTTCTTTCTTTCTTTCTTTCTTATTTATTCACCTGTTCTTTTCTGCTTATCCAACATTCTTTCTTTCTTTCTTTCTTTCTTTCTTTCTTTCTTTCTTATTAATTCATATTTTTTCTACTCATTAAAACCTTTCTTTGTTTTCTCCTTATTACTGTTGCTTATTTGTTTCTTTCATTCTTTCTTTCTAAACATTTTTCTCCTGAACATCTCCCTTTTATATCTTCCTTTTCCCTTGCCCTTTTTACTCTATCAGCAAAAATTCCAAAAACAAACATTTGCACCTATTTCCTTCCTGCTGTCGATTAAATCGTTCAGAAGAAGCTCAGGGCCAATAAAACATTTTCTGAAATCAGTTTTTCTTCCCTTGATATTTACTTCCTCTTGGTAATGCAGTCGTAAACAGTCAACAGTGTTGCGTGTTAAGAGAAACGTGTTTCAACTGGTTTGGCAAAAAGGGAGATAATTCATGTTATTATTTTATCATTTGCTTTTGTTTTCTCATCTACTATTCACAGTGACTATCATAATATTAACAAATGTGGCCACAAGTTGCTCATTTTATGAAGCTACAGTCCGGAATCTCAATTCTTGAAACTCGTTTTTGAGCCGATATCTGTCATATTTTCTTACAATATTCATGCAAGTGCAGCTGATTTATTTTGCAGTGTTACCTAAGTAACATCTTACAGGAATATGAAACTAAATCTTTCTTATGTGACATAATTCTTTATATACTTATGGACTTTGTTTCAGTTTTGGCATGTGGATGTGTGGTTTGGAGGATTTTCTCTAAACACTGACCATCTTCCCTCAATGTTGCGAGATTCTCTTTGTCTTTTCCTCTTGAGTGGAATTTGTATAACTTCCTATCATCTGTTTGTTCTGTATGCACATATCTTAAGAACAGTTCGGTTGACTTCCTGTTTACATACCAAGGCAGGCATTAGCAAGTTTGAGGTCCACTTCTGCACCTGGCAGATATGAGCTAACCTTTCAGGTTAAAACTTATGCACATTGCTCCTCTGATGCTGTAGTATGACACAATTACAAAGACTATTTTGGTATATATTGGGATCATGCCAAGGGAACTCCTCTTAGGTTCTATATTGACATTAAATTCAAAGATGTAGTCCAAAAGTGTCTCCACATCTTTGTTAATATTTTCCAACCTACAACAATTTGGTAGGCTGAACCTAGTACATATTGGGTTCACGTCAAGGGAACTCTTCTTAGGTTCTGTATTGACATTAAATTCAAAGATATAGTCCAAAAGTGTCTCCACATCCTTGTTAATATTTTCCAATATACCACAGTTTGGTAAGCTGAACCTAGTACATATTGGGGTCATGTCAAGGGAACTCCACTTAGGTTCTATATTGACATTAAATTCAAAGATATAGCCCAAAAATGTCTCCACATCCTTGTTATTATTTTCCAACGTACCTTTCCCACAGATGAAACATCACAAACCTCTCTCTGCCCTATCACTATATCCATGGAAAGTGTTCAGACGAACTACATTCCATGATTTCATCAGATCTAACCTTCAGGGCTTCATTGTAGCAAAGAACTCTCATTCCCTTTGCATTCCATTGGGGACATGTAAGTTCTACTGGAGTAAATTCTTCCCATGAACCACTGCTTTGTGGAACTGACTCCCAAGGAGATGCTTCCCCGATCACTATAATCTTAACCTGTTCAAGTGTAGGGTTTACCTACATATGCCCATAATCTTTGACTCTTACTCAGTAACACTCTACTTCGAGTGGCACTTGGTCCTTCTCCAGGGTGAACATCATTGTTAAAAAAAAACAAACAAAAAAACTCTAGCATTTCCTGTGTATTCTATCAAGTACAACAATTTCAATATCTGGGAAGTGTTTTAGCAGAGGACCAAAGATGATTTTACGTTACATTCTCCGGAGTTTTAAATTCAGAACATTCCTTCTCATAGACATGGTGTCCCTATCAAGGCCATAAAGGCCAATATACACTTCTATTTAACCAATGTTTCTTTAATTAAATGACTGTTTACTTTATAAACGTGGACAATAATGACTTACCGTAGATAATTTTTGTTTACTTTCCACGAATTTTAATGATTTCTTGGTATAGATACTGGTGGGCTTTCACTTTGTCTTCACATCGGTTTTGAAACCCGGGTTGTCCTCTTAGACTGATTGCCACTCAAGTGCAGATTGCAAAATATATCCTGCTATTTAGTTCGTGGTTGGAGGAGAGGAGAGAAGGATAGTATTTATCAATCCACCCACGGGGATCGAATGTGGCACAAGGCCTTTTTAATGTGGGTATGTCCGAGCCCGTAGGCCCAGCCAAAAATAAATAACCATCCAAACCCTGCCGAGGTGGGTCAGTTCTGTCAATCCTCCCCCAACGAATCCCTACCCTTCGGCAGAGCTTCGTCAGGGGTTCCTCTCTGCAAGCAGAGAGTTCGACAGACACCCGACCCGGCAGCTCACAAAGCACAGATACTACACTTTGATCCTAGCCACCGGGCCGAGCGGGTATTCTTTCTCGATGACATCTGTGCAAAAGTTAAATAACAGAATTTGAAATCGGTTTACCAGTTCTATTTTCCAAACTGATAACCACCCCATTAACTACCCCTCATTATTAGTTTTATGATTTCAAACATGTTGACATGTAATATTTTCTATTGTCTTCTAAATCCACTGCTTTTAATATGCTGTGGTGATGTGTTTGGCATAGTTTAATCTTTGATGGTACAATGCCATGATGTCATTTCTGACCTTAGGTCACTGCTTGGGAAATTCCCTAGCTATGGGTTAAATAGCAGGAATACTATCTGGAAAGATCATTGTTATTCTCCAAAATATTGTTAGGGCATAATTATAATACAGTGCATCCTCGATTCACGAACGTCTCACATGTCGAAAAAATCGGTTTTCGAACAGAAAATTCGAGATGAAAATGCCTCGGTTATCGAACAAAATTTCGGTTCGCGAACAACATTGCCGAACCGAATTAACCCGAACAGAATAATTTCTGAGTCGACCGCCATGTTCTTTACACCCGTCTGTTGTTTTGTGCTTTTTATTCCCAATTTTTTTGTACTGTGATTTCTTTTCTTTACATTGATTCCTACTGGAAAAATAGTTTCGGTTTACGAACATTTCGGGTTACGAACGGCCTTCAGGAATTAATTAAATTCGTGAACCGAGGTTTCACTGCATTATTAATGATATTTTTTTAGAGTGACAATAGCATTTACAGTTTTTGTGAATAACAATGATTTTTCCAGGTAATATTTCAGTTATTTAACCCAGAGCTGGAGGAGGGCATATATTTATACCTTTCCCAAGGTTATTTGCGTGTAAGTGAATGTAACGAAACATCTGAAATTTGAACTCTGCTCTCTCATTTTACATTTTGATTCGCTATCCATTGCACCATCATGATACCCACAAATTGTCGGTAAAACAGTTTCACTATTTCCAATGAACTAACATCTTTATTAGTTTCTGAAATGAGTTTCATTATTTTATTTTTATGCTTCGTTGTATTTTTTTTTTATAAAAGTCGAAATATTTTTCTAATCGATTTATACAGGCACATTTTCTCAATAAGAATAATTGATTGCTCCTATTATATATAGTTCCTAATATAGTGTGAAGGTTAAAAGGTTGGAGGTTGCGTGTATTTTAGGGGAGGTGCGTATTCAATATTTAAACAAAGAAGATAAAAGCATACAAAAACTTGACTTTCTGCTACGGACGTTTGTTCTTTTTATGGTGACTGTAGTGAAAGAAAGTACTCAATGACTTTTAAGTATGTCCGTTTTCTTTTTGGTTCAGGAGTTAGGATAACAATGGATTAGATGATCGAAGTGAAGTCAGCCTTGCGGTGAGTTAGAACGACCAATTCACTTACTTCATTAGTAGGGCTGCCAAATTCCGTCCTTTCCGGAAGTGTGATCATAAAATTGTGCATGTGACCAGAAATCCTTTCCGGTATCTTTATAACTTGCATCATGGGAAAATGAATTTCTTTTTTTCTTTTTTTCTTTAATAGTTTTATTTTATTTACTCCCAATGTATATATATATATATATATATATATATATATATACAGTGTAACCCGGATATAAGAGACCCGGATATAAGAGAAACTCGGATATAAGAGAGATTTTCTCTGGTCCCAAATTAGAGCCTGTGTTAATGTATATAAATAGACCAAACCCGGATATAAGAGAAACCCGGATATAGAGAAACCCGGATATAAGAGACTTCTTTTTTCCGGTTCCGGCAACTCTCTTATATCCGGGTTACACTATATATATATATATATATATATATATATATATATATATATGAAGAAAAATTTGGAAAAAAAACAAACAAAATCCTTAAATGCAATTATGTTGTTTAAAATGAATGAAATGTCGACGTCTGACGTTTCGGTTTAATAAACCTTCTTCAGGACAATATTCATTAAAATACAATTCAGTTCAATTTGACAAAGACGATGGACATAAAAACAAGTCTTATCCAAAACAGATAACTGAAAATTTTTAAAATGATCAGCTTTTTCATTCAAAATAATCAAAAATTTTTAGGAATACGTTTTGAAAGCGTCGCCCATGTGACGACAACGTGACCATGCTAAACGGAAAGCTGATCATTTTAAAAATTTTCAGTTATATGTTTTGAATAAGACTTGTCCATCGTCAGGTTCAATATAAGCTAAATTTTTCACTGTCAACAATATCTGTTTGTAAGCATACAACTCCATGTGTAATAAAACAACCCCATGAACGAACACTTGAATAAAAAAAAATGATTATACTGAAGTGTCCTTATGAGAATTGACATTGCAAAGCTTAGAAATAGTTTTTGAAAGAGGGATAACAAATTTCATACTTTTAAAAAGAGTAACTTGAGGCATGGTGGAATAATGGATAGCAGCTCGGATTGAGAAATCGGAGAGCCGGGTTCGAATTCTAATCAATTCCATTACATTCACTTACGTGCTAATACCCCTGGGAAAAATATGAAACCTCTTCTTATCTCCCAAGCTATGAGTAAATAGCAGGATAGTTTTTCGTGAATAACAATGATTTT